GTGTGGAGCTCTGTATGGCAAAAATAATAAAGCACTGCCATCTACAGGCAAAAATGGTCTAGAAGCTCAAATGCAGGTGCCAGATTTCTTGTATGATGTTGTTGACTCTACATATGACTTATAACTTCACAATGATTTAAAATAGCCATGAATGCATGAAGTTTGCATGAATATATTTGCTTACCTATACTTGCTGTCTGCATGTAGCACTTGTTGGCCATGCAAGTACCTCCACAGGCCCTGGTGGGCATAGCTGCCTGAGAGGCGATACTGCATCCAATAGTCTGTCGCTGTGGAAACCATTATTAGGATGTTCCCAATAATGGCACAGAACAGGCCGCCGCCCATAAAGCTGTACATCCTGATACACGCTGTGATTATGCAGGAAGGAGATATACACTAAACAGACAGGAGAGATGTTTTAATTTTACACATACAGATGCTTATGTGCACACATTAATAAATGTCACAAAAAGACTTCCTATAATAAACCAAAAATATAAATAAAACATAAAAAAATGCAATTTTTTTTCTCTTCAAACCAACATTTGGCTAAAATGACCACAGATATCTCAACACAAATTTTGAAATTCAACAAATTAAACATATTATATCAAATATTAACATGTATAAATATTAGTATATTAAAATAACTCACTCAATTTAAACACAAAAGCATTTGCGCATGTTTTAAAAATAAATGAGCAAAATAGCATTACAAATTTGGTATTATAAGCAATATATATATTTTTTAATTACTCCTCAAGCTTTACAGTTATAGATTTTTTGACACTTGCATAAATCATTTCATTTATCATGTTTCGTCAACTTAAAAATACAGATGTTACAGTCTTTTTGCAACTATGCAGGAAGGTGATATACACTAAACAGATAGGAGGAAAGTTTTGATTTTACACATACAGATGCTTATACTGAATACACGTTCATAAATGGCACAAAAATCTTGTACAACTAATAAACAAAAAATATAAATAATACATTTTATAAAATCAAACCATTTTTCTCTTCAAACTATATATGGCTAAATAAATTTGGCTAAATAAAAATGTCCACATCTTTTGTCAAAATTTGTAATTCAGTAGATTAAAAATATGATATTAAATTAAATATTAACATGTATAAATATTAATACATCAAAATTACCCAATTTATTATAATACGAAATATACGAATTTCGTATTATAAGCAATATACACTTTAAAAACATTCCTCAGGCTTCACAGAAATAGATTTCTTTATAGCTGCATAATTCATTTTGTTCATCAAATTTCTTCACACAAGAAGCTTAAAAATACAGATGTTACAACTTTTTCAGTATACTTCAACATATTGAAATTGAGAAGCCCGTCTCATTAAAACATGAGAATTATTTATGATATTCCAGGCTAGATAGTCATTAAGAAAGAAAACATTTCTCTAATTTATGTAATGGACATGCTTATCTTAAGATAACTAGCCTACCAGTTCCATTCACACTGCGTTGACGTTTCAATCAAAGAACTGAATATTAAGAATTACAGATATATACAAAAAACATAAAAGTTTTCATACCTTGTTGCTTCTGAGGCAAATCCCTCGTTGCTTATTCTCGGTGGAAAGAGGGAGTGAGAGAGTGGAGAAGGAGAGAGAGATGTTAAGAGGCAAAAGAGAAATAGACAACCTGTGTTGCCCTTTTTGTTGATGGTGGCAAAATCCTTTAAATGCTACCTCCTCTGTCCCTGAAACAAATACACTTGAACTGGTTAGGGCAGGGGCCCTGGTGAGTCTGACTTTTCACTATGTGTATGCATGAGGTCAATGGTCCTCCTTTTGTTTGAAGAGTAGACTGTTCTGTAGCTGCACATATTCAAAGGATTGCTTTGGTACAGCAGTCAATGCAAAACGCTGAGTTGCATGCTTGCTTTGACAGGGGCCACAGCGTGGATACCCATGGCATACCTATAGTTTAAAGTGCAATAAACTCCATGTTTCCCATTCGCAAATCAAATTACTAAATCCATTTTTTAATAATAGTTCAAACACGAGGGAAAATTCCATTTGGAAAAAATTATGATCTGTAAATGTGTTAATGAACCAAATCAATGCTTATGAACAAGCTTTTATATAGAGAGAACCCATATGCATATGACTCATGTGATGTGTCAAAAACAGGTTAACTGTATGACTGACAATCACATCGGTTTAATCAAATCACATGACTTTGTTCCTATAAATTACACTACTAGTGTATATACAAATGTACTGTTGAGTGAGATTCTTGGGTGCTTGCTTTACAACAAAGCAGTAGTACCACAAAAGTGTTGAAAAATATCCATCCATCCATTTTCTACACTGGCTTATAGGTTCAGAAGCAGTGCTGGAGCATAAGTTAAAAAAAATCCACATATTAAATATTTATTAAAGAACATATAGATCAGATCTCTGTGTGGAGCACTGGCTGTTGTCAGACTCCTTGTGCAAACAAAACTCTCACTGGATTATTACAATTAATGCAAAATGAATGTTTGGAAATGTAAACTGACATTTCCTACTGACACACTACAGCAAAAGATAGAAATAACTGACTTAAAAACATTTTTAGCGGGAAAATACTAGTATTCTAATAATTTTGGCCACCACTGTATGCATGTATGTATGTATGTATGTATGTATATACAGTGCCTTACGAAAGTATTCATACCCCTCCATTTTTTTCATGTTTTGTTGTTGCTGCCTTTTGTTAAACTGCTTTAAATTACTTTTTTCCCACATTAATCTACAATCCATACACCATATTGACAAAGCAAAAACAGAATTGTCACAACTTCATAAATTTATTAAAAATAAAAAAACTGAAATAAGTACATTGCATAAGTATTCATACCCTTAACTAAATATTTAGCTGAAGCACCTTTACAGCCTCAAGCCTTTTTTGTTTGATGCAACAAGCTTTGCTCATCAGCATTTGCCAATCATCTGCCATTCTTCTCCTCACCTCTTCACCTCTCAAGCTCTGTCAGGTTGGATGGGGGCAGTTGCACATTTTTAGATTTCTCCAAAAATATTTGATTGGGTTCAAGCCCAGGATGGGGCTGGGCCACTCAAGGACATTCACAGAGTTGTCTATAAGCCACTCTTGCTGTGTTTAGGTTCATTGTCCTGTTGGAAGGAAAACCTTCTGCTCAGTCTGAGGTTCTGGATGCTCTGGCCTTGGTTTTCATTAAGGCTAACTCAATATTTTGGTGCATTGAGCTTGTCTTCTATTCTGATGACTATTTATACTATAGTCGCACCGGTACCAGATCGGTGGAGTGTTGCAGTGATGTTTGTCCTTCTGTAGATTTCTCCTATCTCCACATATGATCATGGAACTCAGCTAGAGTGACCATCAGGTTCTTGGTCACCAGTCTAGACAAGGCCCTTCTCCATCAATTGCTCAGTTTGGCCAGGAGGGCAGCTCTAGGAAGAGTCCTGGTTGTTTCAAACTTCTTTCATTAATAAATTTGCAAAGATGTTAAAAACCTTTTTTATTTCACCATTATGGTGTATGGAGTGTAGATTGATATGGGAAAAAAGTAATTTAAAGCAGTTTAACATAGGGCAGCAACATAAAATGTGAAAATATTATATATTATAATACTATATTATATATATACTTGCTGCTGGCTATATTAACTGAATTAAAATATATGTTAACAATAGAGACACTGAATATCTGCATGGTCAACAGGACAATTTTAGTAGCTTATTCTCCAAAAGCACTTGGACAAACTTTTATTTTGTAGGCCTACTACAAATGTCAGGTTAAACGAAACCTTTAATCTTTTATGTTGGGTGTTTCAATGAATGCTGAATGAAAATTGTTAGAAAAAATGTAGGGGACAGTGCTAGTGACAATGAAAGTATATTTTATGGTGGTTTTGCCAAACATGTCCAAAACTATACTTGGATTTTTTTGTTTTTTTCTCGCATAAACATCAGATTTTAAGTATGAAGTAACTGGCAACCACACATTTTTTCACATTATTTTAATAAGAAAAGGAACCCTTAAGGTGTGTGAGCTGGTGTTCAAATGTTCAAATCCTTTCCATGTTGTCAAATGTCTTTGGCGTTAGCTGATCATTTAATATTATTGTATTAATTACGTTAACTTCTCAAACTATGTACATAAAATATACTGCGTAATTATGACGACAAGGCTCAAATAAAAACAAAACAACACAAAAAAACATTTGTTCAATTTGCCACACAGCACAGCCTCGTGGCAACAGCAGTGCAAGTTCAGGAACATATAGAGTAGCCGAGTACTATTGGCAAAACAACGCTTTTACTACCAAAAAAAATCTCATATGTTTATTTATGAAAACATGTTACACGTGTACATCGAGTAAATAATTCTGAGCGTTGTATAAATTATGTTAGCCAGTTTATTCACATTAGAGATTAACAAACGTCTATATTTCCTACCCACCACTCTTGCATTCGTGTCATGTGGTTTGATCAAAAACCCGGATTGGATCGCGGAGGTCACCTGAGAAAAATCACCACTCGTCAAATTCGTGATTCCCTGTGCTGATGTGACCAAGGAAAAATCGTATATTTTGTGCACGTTATACGTTTAGAATTACACACGGACATATTCTAAATCAAGGTAAGTTTTTAAGTTCACTCATTTATTAAACGCCATTTCAAACCGTCATGTCATTCATAATGAAACTCGTAAGGTTGTAATAGCAATAGGCTAGTTAGATCTCATTTGAACTTCAATTTCCAGTTTAAGCGTTGAAAGTCTATCGCAATAATTTAGACTCCCTATTTGTTCTGTTTCTACCCCTTAAATTATCGTTACCTGCGAAATACAAGCCGTTTCAGAATACGTACACAACCATTCGTGTGTTCTTATATTTGTGTGCAAGTTACCTAAAATATTTTATTGTTCCTTTATTTCAACATAAACCGCACTTTGTTTAAAATAGGAACTCCACTCCATATCTTATTAACGGCAGCGCTAATATGTGGCCACTAGAACGCTTGCGGAGGGATACGTGAAGATTGATATAAAAGCAATACAGCGCGGTTCTGAAATAAGGCGAAAACGAGGGTTTAAAGTACTTCAAAATAAACCGATAAATAAATCCAGTGTTAACGTAGGCGCTATAAGTTTGAAAAGAAGCCACTAAGCGACTCAACAGGTCGAGCACTCGTCTAGACAGTAGGGCGGGAGTGAGTAACATACGCAACAACAACCGGTACACCTTCCGTCTTCCTCCACAGCGGTCTCCATTTTAACTCCTCGCCCAGCCTGCACCTCACGTGTCCTGGACTGTCTTTCTCACATGACCCGTGTGTTTGTCCCCGTGATCAGCGCTTCCATCTCCAGTATTTCAAGTGTCGCTGAATATCGCATTTTTAAATTCGTTCGCATTCATGGATATGCTCGATCAGCGCTTGGACACCTCGACGAGGTGAGAGCGCGTCCTTTATGCACGGCCATCCTCAAGGCCCCAGTCAACCATTTTCTGCTCTGTTTTTTATAGTAGGGCAGTTAGCAATCATCTTTTAAGTTTATTTTCTGACTTTTATTAAGTTTTGGGCATGCCATTAATATAGTAAGTTACACGTAAGATACGAATAGCACGAAGAAAACAACAGATCGCAGGCATTTTAACATCGATGGTCGACATATTTATATCACTATTAGCCCGATTGCTAATTTGGTGATTTTTGTCTAACGTTACCCTTGGTATTTGAAAATAAAACGACAACTCCAAGCCGGTGTACGTTTCCTTTTAACAACAATCTTCTATATTAATATTTTCTGAAATATAAAAGACGTTTAACTAATATTTCAAGTAGAAATGTCGTGTTTAGTACTGTAGAAACAAAAGCTCTTCATCGGTTTTAAGCATTAAATTCCCTTCAACCTGCAAACAACTCCCAGTCTTTTCATTCAGAGGCTTTATATGTTTAGATCTTTATTTATTTAATCCCGTGTTGTTTATTTGGCTATATATTTTTATCTACAGAAAATGTTGCTATTAGTAGTTTTGAATTTTGCAGACCACTATAAAAACAGTGAACAGTTTTTAGTGATGAGAAGGGGGGCGTTCACCGTTTGTTGGCCAAGTTAAGGAGACAGATCTTGATGATCTATGTCAGATTTATATCTAGAGCATCTTTCTCAAGCCATTTTGAGTTTTTAATTGATTTCCAAATAGTTCAAACGCCTCTTTAATTAATTGCACCAATACTGAATGTAGTAGTTATGTCCGATTCGTTAACGAATCGTTCTTTGAGTCGGATCGTTTCAATGAATCGATTCGCGATTCTTTCAGAAATCTGTCTGAGCTGTTCTTGAGTAAGAATAAAAAGGGAGTTCAATAGCAGTATGACAAAAAAAATCGTCACATTAAAATAAGCATATCTAAATTTAAAACACGCAAAATACATTTTCTAAAGAGTTTTTTTTATTATAAATGCAAATTATATCCAGGGACTATAGGACTGAAACACAAAATTACATAAACACTATTATTGTAAACAACATTATTATTTTTGAACCCGTGTTTTGAATGAACCATTTTGAAATGACTGCCAAATTTCCATCACTAGAATCTGCCAAAAGCCTAAATGATTTTGATCTATATCTCTAGAGCTTCCTTTGAGTAGTTTTATAAGATGACCCAGAACATGCTCTTTCTCTATGCAGTCACGACAAACAGGAAACTGAGGAGGTTGTTCAGCTGCAGGAGGGTAAGTAAAAACATGCAGCTCAGAATGATGTGTGCATGCAGTGAATGATGCATATATCAATATACCGCTGTTCGTTTGTGGTGCATTTCTCAGGAGAGGGCGTGGGGGTGGAGGAGCAGGCAGCGGTTACCATAGCAAGTGTCCAGCAAGCAGCAGCTTTTGCAGACCACAATGTTCAATACCAGTTCCGGACAGAGAACACTGGTGGACAGGTCAGTGCGACCTTTGACCTTTCCAGGGTTCAAACTGGGGTCACTCTGTAATAAAACATGGCCTGGAGTCATGAGTTTCTCTGTCAAGGCTCTTATGAGAATGCTTTTATGTCTGTATAATGCCTACATTATATTATATATATTATGTCTGCGAGTGTCATTTTAGTATTATATATTATTATTATACTATTGAATTTAGTATTATTTATTACTATTAAATAAAAATTGGGTAACACTTTATTTTAAGGTGTCCTTGTTACACGTTACGTGTTCTTACTATTATAATAACAATAAATTATGCATAATTACATGCAAGTAACCCTAAACCAACCCCTAATCCTAACCATATAGTAAGAACATGTAGTTAATTAATATTCCTCAGTACTTAAATGTATAATTACACTGTAACAAGGACACCTTAAAATAAAGTGTAACCAAAAATTATTTGCATATTCTGTATTATTGTAGTATTTTTATATTTTTATATTTCAAATTAGCATTTATATTTTCAGTTTTGTGTTTAGTTTAAGTTTGAGTCATTTTACATGCTTTTGTTATTTTTATTAGTTCTATTTAGCCTTAATTTCTGTCTATTTCAGTTTTAGATTTAGCGATTTTAGTACTTCAACCAATTTTATTTCAGTTATTTGGCAAGGAAACATTTCTAATTTTCATTTAAGCTTTTTCTATTTAGGCTTTTCATCTAATATTTATTTTTCATTTTCATTGTACTCTGTGTCAGTTAACAAAATCTATGTTTAATAATGTTTTTTTAGTTAACAATAACAACACTGCTGTATAAACCAACAGCAGTTTATAGCTCTATTATAACTTTAAAGTCAACAAGAAATTAAAATTGCCTGAATTTACTTTCATAATGCAAATTCCTGGTGTTATTGTGAACGATTCATCGGTGCGTATTATTCCAAAAGAAAAAAAAAATCTGTTTATTCATATTCTTTAAAAAAAAAAAAAAAACTCCCTCTGAAACTGCTTTCCCTTTTTGCTGACATCACCTGGACAGTTCAGGCTACTGGATGATGCTAAGCACCAGCCAAATAGCTATATAGGCATTATTTTAGCAGACTTATATTCTAGTATGTAATGTCCACTGTTTATTATCATTTGATTTCTGATAGATAAAATCAAGTCCAATCCTGCTTTTTTATTTACTGTTGAAAATTCTATTTGATTTAGAAACGTCAAACTATGAAATTAAGTTTCAAATGGGAAATCATTTTTGCTTTAATGCATTTGTGTTATTTAAATCCACATAATTAGATTATGCAACTTAAAGATACAAAACATTCTTACAAAGTTCACCTTTGTGTTCTGTCCTGATACAGGTGACGTATCGCGTGGTCCAGGTAACAGAGGACCATTTGGACGCAGCAGGAGATGGAGGAGCGGCAGTCAGTGTAGTGTCCACAGCCGCCTTTGCGGGCGCACAGCAAGCGGTAGCACAGGTGTGTATGGAGCAGACTGGACTGAAGCATGGAGAAAAGCAAAAAAATGAATGCAGTGTCAGCTTTGCATGCTTGTCTCTCATATTTCAATATCTGTCTCTCAATAGGCTGTCATCCAGAACCCATTCAGTAATGGAGGCAGTCCAGTGGGGGAAACAGTGGGGGGGGAGACACGCTTCGCCTACTTCCCAGCAGCAACTGTCAGTGACGGTACAGCTGTCTCAGTGCAGGCCACGTCTGATCCGACCCTCACACAGGCTGGAGGTCAGTCTCGCATGCTAAAGTACAAAAACATTGTTTGCCATTGATACTGAGCATGTTTTACAGCTTTACGTGTTTTGCTGGTTTACATGCAAATCAATAAACCAGCGATGCAAGTAAGCTGCATTTAGAAGAATGGTACGTGAGTTGTGATGGTAAATTAAGCATTAGATCCTAGAGTACTCCAAAATGTCAGTGGGAAACGTGCATAGTTTTTACAATTGTACCACGTGTCCTATGGCTGCAGGAGATGAGAACATATTTTTTATCATTTCTTTGGTCAGAAATGATTCAGAATTTGCAATGTCATCCTACGCACCGTAAAACACTCACTGTGGCTGGATGCACTTAAATCTGCCGTAAGGGTGCTTTTCTGTAACGTATAACACATTCTATAATCCGACAGAACACAGATTAAAGGGTTAGTTCACCCAAAAATGAAAATTCTGTCATTAATTACTCACCTTCATGTTGTTCCAAACCTGTAAGACCTTCGTTCATCTTCAGAACACAATTTAAGATATTTTTGATGAAATCTGAGGGCTCTCTGACCCTCCCATAGACAGCAAGGTAACTACTACGTTCAAGGTCCAGAAAAGTACCAAGATGATCGACAAAGTAGTCCGTGTGACATCAGTGGTTCAACTGTAAAGTTACGAAGCTACGAGAATACTTTTTTGCGCAAAGAAAACAAAAATAACGACTTTATTCCACATTTTCGTCTCTACTGCGTCACTTGTGGACGCGCGTTCAAGACAGTACCATGACGCAAGCGTGTACTTATAAACTTAAACAGGTTTGGAACGACATGAGGCTGAGTAAATGATGACAAAATGTTCATTTATGACAACAGATGCTGCAGGTGCAAGTTCATTCATATTGTGTTTTTCAAACATTTCCTTTTTTGTTAACTCTAGGTCAGTTTTACGTGATGATGAGTCCACCAGATGTTTTACAGACTGGAACGCCACGGACCATCGCCCCTCGTACACACACATACTCTACGTAAGTATGATCATGGGTCAACATCCCTTACTTTTCCCAGTCTGCACAGCCCAGTCCACCCTTTGATCCCAGTGCTATGTACATAATGATTTGATCCCTTCACGTTCCCCCAAATTAATTTCAGTTTACAGAACAACAAGAATGGAATTTCAAATCAAATTCGGATTAATTTTCCTGCAAAACGCCTCAAATTGAGAGTGTAGCATTAATTTAAAAATGCAATGAATTCACATATAAATATTCAAAGTATTGTCCAATCAAGTGCAGTCAGAAGAACAACCGAAAAAAATTTGTCCCACTTGCCTGCCATCCCCAGAGACCTTGGTGAACGTGAGACTCTTCAACACAGCAGATCAGACTGGTGAGGAAGACCTTTTACATCCCCACCCCCTTTCAGCTACCAGCCTGCATTTCTCTAGATACTGCTGCTATTGAGCAGCTGGCTTTTTAAAGGAATTGTTCACCCAAAAATGGAAATTTGCTGAAAATGTACTCGCCCTCAGGCCATCCAAGATGTAGATGAGTTTGTTTCTTCAACAAAACAGTTCCAACAGCTGATAAAAACATCTCGGTAATCCACACAACTGCAGTCCATCAGTTAACGTCTTGTGGATTATTGTGATGTTTTTTAAGCTGTTTGGACTCTCATTCTGACAGCACCCATTCACTGCAGAGGATCCATTGGTGAGCAAGTGATGTAATGCTAAATTTCTTCAAATCAGTTTCAATAAAGAAACAAACTCATCTACATCTTTGATGGCTTGAGGGTGAATACATTTTCAGCAAATTGTAATTTTTGGGTTAACTATTCCTTTAATTCAGTACTGTATGAATACCTTAGATGTGTTTGCTGGTGTTTGAGTTTTCTTCATGTTCGGAAGACATCACTTGAATTAATTCTAGCCTCTAAAAACCGAAATGAGGAAAAATCAAAGGGTTACATATTTATTTTAGGCTAACCTATTTGTCCAGATTTAAGCAAATCTTTGGGTACAATCGAATTGACCTGACTAAAATTTGTGACTCAATAATGAACTGTTGTTATATCAGTAAATGGGCTGAAGAAATGTTTGTTTTCAAATAGGCTTCAGCTGTGTTGTGTCGTGCAGATTCGTTTGGTGTTTTTGGTAGTTTAATGGTGCAGTAGAACAAGCTAACACAAGTCTCCTCTTTTTCTTTTCTCTCTCTTACTTGCGCAGGAAGATTGATGGCCCCCGGGCGCCCCGTGATGAGAGAAGGAGAGCACAGCACAATGAAGGTGAACTAATACATGTCTTTTTAGAGCTCAGAATATGTACAGTTTCAGTGAAAGCAAGAACATCTGTACAAAACAGTTATATGATCAATGTCACTAATTTAACTGATGTAAAAAGTAATGACTTTTTTAAAAATTTTATTGCATTTCAGTCAAAATGAAACTAAACTAGAAAAATGTAGAACTGGAACATTGTCCATCAGGAATTGATTTAATTGTAATGTGGATTTACAAATGAAATGGTTACAGTGGTGGAAGTTATTACACTTTAATAAAACATTGTAAAGACAGGTTTTTTCATTGAAAGTAACATACACGGATAACTCATTCACCAGGAGCATGCATTAGGAAGAGAAAATGGGGTCAATTAGGATTTCATATCGACTTTGAGTAATTCAGTGTATAGAACAGAAGTAGCTCAGTTTGGACTGTTGCTAAATGGTTTTATTGGTGTTTTTGCAGTGGAAAGGAGAAGAAGAGACAAAATCAACAACTGGATTGTCACGCTGTCTAAAATTATCCCAGACTGCAATATGGACAGTACCAAAACAGGAGCAGTAAGTAACTTACATGGCATCAGATCTTCTGTTCTTGGACCTGTTGTACCTCTTTACACCTGCTAATGTTAATGAACTGCTTGTCCTCCTCTCTAGAGTAAAGGAGGAATCCTGTCTAAAGCATGCGACTACATTAGAGAACTCCGACAGACTAACCAGAGGCTGCAGGAGAGCTACAAGGAGGTGGAGAGAATACAAGTGGACAATGAGCTACTAAGACAACAGGTATTTTTGTTGGTGGGAGTTATGTAGGATGTACAGAGGGGTCTCAAAGTCAGAATACTAGTGTGTGTGTATATATATATATATATATATATATATTTATATTTGAATTTTTCTGGATTCTATTTTTAATGGTTGAGTTAAATTTTAATAATCAAAAAGGATTTTTAATCAGTTGTGTTTATAAAACTATAAAATTATAATTTAATACTTTATTAAAATGTAACAATAGTTTATGAATAGTGTTTTATTTTTCCAGAAATTCTGTTTCAGTTTTTCTGGGTTCTAATTTTGTTTGTTTGGTTGGTTGGTTATTTAGTTTTGGTCAGAAACATTAGTAATCAAATGAGTGCTTACATCTTTAACAGTGTAACCAATCTTTTAAAATGTAATCAAATGACATTTCAACAGTTCCTTTCCGTTTTTGGCAAATAAAGTGCTGCAAAAGAGGTTTAAGAGGTTTACAGTTTCAATTAAAACATGGATGACAAATTGTGATATTGTATGATATCCTTAAAAAAATGCCTCAAGTAATGTATCCTAAGTGGTTAATAAAATAAATTAAATCCTAAGTGGTAAATTTATGAGATCTTTGGTGTTTTACTGACCAAGTCCGATTGGGCACATGGTAATATGTTGATTGTCCATTGTCCTGCAGATTGAAGACCTGAAGAATGACAATGCACTGCTCAGAGCTCAACTACAACAGCATGGCCTGGAAATCAGTGAAACTACATCACAGTGACAAAACAAACAAACAAAAAAACATTCTCATCAATAAACGGTCTCAAGTGGAGAAATAACCCCTCAATGACACACTTGTTCACAACTCATCACAGACTTAAGTTGTGCTGCAACTCAAGTAGGGTATGAATGCTTATTTGATAGACAGACACATCCTTCTGACAAGAGACTCTCTGACTGTTGGGAAAATAATAACTTCTGTACAAGCACATTTTGTTTTCTCCTTCATTTGTGCGAGAACTCAACAAACCTGGACTCGGTCGATATGGAATAACCCTCTTCCAGAAGTATCCCGCTTGCCACAAGTCTTTATCTTTAGTTTGAATCTCGGATTTGTGAACCAGTTATATGCCTGCTCATGCCTAATGCTCATATTTTGTTCTGTTTGAAACATTTTGTGGATTTTATTTTTGCTACATCGTGCAAATGTTACTACTGTCTCTAACATTACAGAAGGTCTTTTTCGAGGGTTCTGCGGTATTGTATTTATTAGCTTTCAAGAAATTGCGCAGCAGCAGGCATACAAAACCTTGGCTAATGTTTTGAATTTGGTTTTGTTTTTCTGTCCTGCAGTCTTTCCATATATCAGACTTTGTGAAATGCGTTCATCTGGCTGATCAGAGACTTGACATTGTGGCACATCAAGAGTAATTTACAGTATAAATTTTGCTTAGAAAATAAAAGAAAGTGCATAGAGTATGTTTTCATATACAACAGAGACTTATGATATCTAAAACTGCATTACCTATAAACTTCAGTTTTCAGAGTCCATTATATTTAATGCACTGTGATTTTAGTGAAGGATGAACGAGTAGCTCAGGGTTTTGAGGTGCAGGAAAATAGCCAAGGCTCTGGAACTCCCCACTAACCTTGTAACCCTGCACTTTTTGCCCTTTGGCTTTAACATACTAGAAACTTGTACTGTATATATCATGTATTTCAACCAGTTGTTCTTGCGTCATGAATTAATTAGACGAAATGTACTTTATAAGCCCTAATTCCCAGGGTCGTTTTTCTGCGGCAAATAAAATGGAAGATGCACAATAGAAACAAATAGAATTGCTACTGCTAGTAGTGTTCTGGCTCATTTTGTTGAAGCTTATCTTCCGTCTTATTTTGTAACGGTCCTAATTTGGGTTAAGACATTGATCAGCAACGTTTTAAACAATAAAATCAGAGATGAGCTTTAAAAATGATCAAACACTATTCAATTATAAGAGTATGAGCATTAATATCTGACAGCAATGGGAGTTATTGTTAATGAGCTATGCATAAGGAAACCAAACAGTTTAAAAGCGAACAGATTTATTTTCTTAAACCTTCTTGATAGTTTTAGTGTTTACCAGTTTATTTCCTAGGTTTTAAGGCCAGTAGACCAGTAGTTGGTGTAGCAGCATATTTCATCTTTAACAGGAATGAAAATGATGCTGTGATGATAGTACAGTGTGTTCAATGGATTGTACTGATGTTTAACAGCATACCAATTATTCAGCTGACAAAATGTCTTTCTGGTGGGAAAAAAAATGAATTTCAGTAGACAAAAACTAAAACAATTTTGAAAGTTGTGAATATTGTGATCTAGGACCTTTATACAGTGCCATTATAAAGACAGTCTATCCCTCACAGCATTGTTTTTTATTCGTGTTAAATTCAATATGGTGTCTAGCTTGATTAAGGTCTCTTCAGGCCTGTGTTTTCCCCTTCCTAGTCAGATGGGCTTATTGCAAAACTTGAATAATATAATGCCGGGTTACAAAAATATTACTTTTTACTAGGACCCATTAGTTCATCTCCACATGTCTCTAGTTTTGGTAAAAAATAAAAAAAAACATCAGATTTTAAACAGCCTTAAGTTATAACCTCAAGCAATCAGTGATCATAGCAAACCAAGTGTTGAACCAGTGAAACATCAATATATGTTTCAAAAGTTCCACATAGCAATACAGAAAGTGCACAGATAAACCTTATTAAACACTGTCCTCTTCACAGTATTAATGCTGTACATGAATGACTGTTGATTTACAGATTCAAGAACTGTAGTCTTAATGCACTGCTGCTTTTAAATCAAAGCTTAGAAAGAATATTTTTATTCCTGTCTTGGTTGAACTGAGGAACCCTTAGCATGACATTCTTACCACTGGTTTGATATCTATAAGCTATACAACGCAGTTGCTTTGTTTATACCTGATGACTGTTGATGTTTGTAGCGTCTGGACCAATCAGACACACCATTTTTCATTTGATTTAACAAATCAATTATTCATTAGATTAACAAATCGTCACAGTCCCCTCACCAAATAAACTGGATGCCAGGATGTCTGCCACGA